GGGGGGGGGGGGGGGGGGGGGGGGGGGGGGGGGGGGGGGGGGGGGGGGGGGGTAGAGGGATGTGTATGGGACAAATTTCCGGAACATGCATTGGCCAATTTCAGTTCCAAGTCAGTGCCATTGCCATTGTGAACCAAAACTAAAGACTAAGGAACTTTTCACTTAAACGCAATTGGATATTTGAGGGGCAACTGCTTGTTGTTGCGCCCGGGATTTCTATGTTACAATCATTCTGTTCTGCTGAGAGGTAGTGATCTTTTTCATCGTTCGCGTACCTCACCGGCTCCGCAGTACCAAAATAGTAGACAAGAAAAATATTAAGGAGGGGGAAAAAAGTAGCTTAAACTTGGACTTGACCATCTGAACACTCCTTGCATCACAACAAGAATTTTTATATCTTTCTTTTTAAGAGCTCTTAAGTGTTAACTAGTCGCTTTCTTGCCAAACCTCAATGACACTTGTTTTCGGCTGCCACGAAACAAACTGCCCCCAAATGATCTGCGATTACCACTAGTACTAGGGAGGACTAGACGATAAGGGGTTATTAATTTTTTACGTCATCGAGGCTCAGTAACTCTTTCAACAAATTATTAATAACCCCGAAATTGTTCTTGGATTCCACTTACCTGACCCTGGATTTATTCTTATTCTCTTTGGGTAGCCCTGATCCAAGTAAAACAACCTTTCTTTTACATTGTATTCCAATATGCTCACTATAGAAGGCACACCTCTCTCCTCGCGCGTCACCGCCTTCCACGCGCGCATCACATATCTCGCACGCCATATTTCTTAGGCGCCTGGATGCCACGCAGGCTAAGGCGTAATCCTAAAACCCTTTAAACTCTGCAAACTAACTGAAGCAAAACATGAGGACTTAGATAGAGAGGTTAGCTGTTACCATCCCCGCAGAGCTCCATATTAAGCCAAAGCGCAGGACATGAAGAAAGGGGGATGGCGAATTTTAAAACTAAAGACTACCTTATTATAGGAAATTAACGCTCCATGAAATTAAGGTATTGGAAATTAACGCGACTTAAGTTAACGCGAATTTAATTGAAAACGACTTTCGAATAAAGAAAATTAACGCGAAAGAGCAGGTAGAATTTCATTAAAAGGAAATTAACGCGATTATCTTGGCCGAAATCAAAGGAGAAGATTTTGACATCACTTCTTACAGCGACAACGACGAAGATGAACTCGAAATATTGTAAACCTTCGCCGTAGCTTTTGTGAAAGATGAAAAATAAAGGGTAAATTGGAAAAAACTTGAGTGTTTAGCCTAAGGCTTGCAGGCAAGGTAAACAGCTCAAAAAATCGGCTAGCAGAGGTTCGCTTATTTTGCACTGGCTCCGTTTAATATTCTTTCCTTTACCCAATTTGGAGCCAGTGGTCCCTGCAATCACCGGTCAGAATGCAGAATATTACCAGACCAGCATCCTAAAGCGGTATCATTCACGAAACAGTCTGTCTTTACTTTCGGGAGTGATTGCTATTTTTTTAAACATTACTTTATTCGGAATTTAATGGTTATTACGCTAAGAGGGGGAGGCATGGGTGTTAGTACTTGCAAGACAAACGACAAACAATTTTTAATATAAAATCATTCTGACCTGGAGTTCTGATTTCTTTGCTCTCACTGGAAATAGTGTCAGTCAACTTACAGAAAGAATATTCTCAGGGCAATTAAATCAAGACTTATTTGTTTGAGCGGCTTAAGACAGAAACAACGTTTTTAGTAAGAACAATTACAACACGGACTTTGTTAGACGGAACACTCACAGTAACACTGATTCCAACTCTCAGACCAACTCTTTCCCTGTTACGACAGCAACGATACCGTACATCAGAAGCACCTCTGAAACTATTGCACTTATATTACAACCTTACAATATACGTGTTGCGCACAAACCGATAACCACTTTACGGCGACTGCTTACTAACGTCAAGGACAAAGACAAACCGGAGGACAGACAGGGAGCAGTATACAAGATCAAATGCTGCGACTGCCGGGCTTCTTACATTGGTGAAACCGGCAGAAACCTAAGCACGCGACTGACCGAACACAAACGGGCGACGAGGAATGGTGACGTCAACAATCACATTGCTGAGCACCATTTAAAGACGAAACATCAAATTGACTGGGACTCTGTGACATGTATAAAGTATTCTACACACTACTATCAACGTCTTACTTTAGAAAGCTGGTTTACTAACTTCGAACAAACGCCACTGAATCGTAGCCAACAGTTATCAGCGCCGTACAAACGACTTATTGACGAGATCAAGCAAAACTAACTACGAGAAAACAACTGGAGAACTGACAATTTGACTAACAATAGACGACTGTTTAACTGTGACAATAGACGGATCGAAACGCACCAATCACTGATTACGAGTCTTCATAGCCAATAACATCACGGCTTAACTGACAGACGATCAATAACATCGCGACATAATTGACCAATCAGATCAATAACCGTATAATACCATCAACTGACGTGATACAACTCACTTTGACTCTGAAGATGACTACCGCACAGGTTGTCGAAACGTCAGTCACTGTCAACAATAACAGTCCTATTCAGGACTACGTTCACCCGGACGATCAAACTCAACCTTTTTTCAAATGACTCCTGGGTTCAAACCTTTCACACAGACAAAATTGCAGCATCATCCAGAAAATAGGCCAAACGTAAAACGTAACTTTCCGATTTGGCAGATGCCAATCAACTCCGCCTATCATGTGGACTTATTTTTTACAAGTTCTACTCTTTGAGAATTTATAAGTGAACGAATAGTGAGTTCGAATTTTTAAAATTGCAAAATATACTGCAGATTGAAAAGAAAAAACAGACTTCTTGATCAATCGCAAAAGTTATTTCCCGAAAAGGTGTAAAAAAAATCAACTAATCTGCAAAATTAAACTCCCGCAAGAAAGTGTCACTTGGAAACGCATTAATGAAGGCTACTTTCTGTTTCATTTGTTTTTGTTTCTAATTTTTCTGCTAGCAAGATAGTTTCCAAAACATATCCTCAGTGAGTTTTTAGAACGCCTGTATCGAGCAACTTAAAACTCGTTTTTAAAAGTGTGAAGGGCAGAATTCGGAATCGAAAATAATTTATATAATATTCGAATTATTTGCCGCGCTCCCGTCTATCTGCGAAGCAGCAACCAAACATACTTTTCTACATGGAAAGATGTTTAGTTATTACAAATCCGAAAAAAACCAAGCTGCTTCTTCAGATGACTTTATAATTTTTTTAGCTATGTCTACACCAGATCAGCATTTTTTATATGTTGATGGAAGCTTTTCGTAAGACTGTGAAAATGGATCGAAGGCCAGAAAAATGACTCTGTTGAGGGTGCGGCATATTGCTTGAAAATGAATTTCTTTAGAAAAGCCCTCATTAAACAAGACCGATTCACACAAAACCGAGAGGACATTGTGTAACAGAAGACCACTAGTGTAACAGTAGCTTAGCTTTTGATCTCAAAAACGGGTTTCTGCAGGTGTCTGCAGTTCACAATCACTCTCTGAACTGTCTGCCGATGGCAGAGTCGACCAGAGTCAAGGCAGAGCGAAAGTTGATTTGTATTATGAGCCATTTTGAAGATCAGGCTCCTTTGTGAGGAAACATGGCGATTTATCGGAGGCTAGCGTGAAATAGGCAAAGCAAAGCAGGCCGATTTTTTCGCGTAATTCACCCTATTTTTTGGTTTAGTTTGTTTTCTCTAATTTTCTTTTAATTTGAGGAAATTTAGTCCTTTTTTGTTGTTGTTGTCCGAACAACGTTATACACGTGTTTTGTTGAGAAATGTTTTAGTGACACATTTTATATATCGAAATTTGTGTTTTTTTGTTTGTTTTTGTTATTGTTCACAATTTTTCTATCCTCATTTTCTCATCCGCATCCGCCATCTGCAGGTATCCAGTCCTCGTTTTGCAGACACCTCCTTTGCTAACCGATTTTTTTAGCTGTTTACCTTGCCTGCAAGCCTTAGGCTAAACACTCAAAGGAGAAGTGCACCAAGTACGTGTGCATTTCATGGAGGAGTAACGGAGCATCCTTATTTCTGTAACATTAATGAAAGGAATTACAGGGTACAAAATAACTGTGTCATCTATTGGCATCAGGTTCTGTATGTAAGTGAAGGGTCCAACCATGTGACAGCTACTTGAAAAAAAGATTTCTTTCCTTAATTGTTTGTTTGTTTATTTATTTATTTATTTATTTTTGCCATCCGCATTTCTAGTTTTTTTCTTCTTACTTTTTTTGTTATCCGCATTTTTTTCCATCCGCATTTTTCTATCCGCATTTTCCCATCCGCATCTGCCATCCGCATATATCCGGCCCGCGTTTTACAGACACCCGAAATTAAGAGCGCGGAAATTAAAACTCAACAAAATTAACGTTAAAATTCGCGTTAATTAATTTTTTACTCCGGTTCCAATTTACGCGCAATAACTCGATTGGGAACGCTTGCTACGCAGGCTAATGTTAGGGCTTTGAAACAGAGTCCATTGAGACTAGGTTCTAATCGTTTTTTTTTTTTTTTTTTAATTAACTCAGCGACGTCAATCAGCTTCAGATGGGGCGCAACAAAGGTGGAGATGGCCAAATGTCGCCAATTTATTCAGTACGTGAACGAAACTGCAAAAAACAAAAGTTTGCCTTTGAAGGTCTTGAATTGTGTTGAGGGAAGCTCATAATTATGACGATTGTGCTACCAAGATCAAAGAAGATAAGGCTGACCTCGTGACACTGGACGGAGGACGCGTGTATGCGGCAGGTACAAATATCAAAGCGAAAAAAAATATCGTCCTTCCTTCTTTGTAGTTTTCATAAGATATTATGTCTGCTAAACACTGAACTAAACAAAACTTCAGTTTTATGAAGTTCTTCGTTCTGTAATAAAGACGTGCTGCATTGAAAGCCGAGCCAATCATATGTATTTATCGGTAATCGCTTCTCTCCAAAAGAGTCACGTGTGCGCAGGAAACTCTGTTGAGGGGTGTAAAAGATAACTTTTAGCCGGTTCAGTGTTATAGCTATTGATCAGACAATCTCGAATTAAGAGAACTATCGCTTTTACTGCAAAATTTTACGTTTCTAGTTTTTGTTGTCCTCCTCATTGGTTATTAACTTTATTAGCCATCCACTTAAAGCAGAGATAAAAAAAGGGGGGGAGGTCTCAAAGTGATTTTCATTTCTCTACCAACCTTGATATCGTAACATTGTTTACTTAAGAGTTTCGAGAAGTCTTAAAGAAGTCAGACAAAAAAAACAAAACAAAAGGGGGGTGTCACGCTTGCTTTCTTAAACCCTCGCACTAACTTAAATAACTTACCGAACATCAAACCACAGAATCTTTTATCATTACTGTATTTTAATATTATGACCAAGTTCATCTGCCTCTTTGGTGGCGAGGCAGTGGAAAAGCCAGATATTGTAAGACGCTAGGAGTTTGAAAATTTCAGGGATGAAACAACGAAAACGAAGTTGTTAATGTTGGAACTGTTAATTGTGGTACGGGTCACGGGTCTTCATCTGGTCCCGGGTCAACAAGTTCCGCCTAATCGTGATATCTGGGCTTAAATTTTAATCCGGGTTTCGTTTTCTTTTGTTCAATAGCATTTTCTTCTAGATCTATTCTTTTCAATCACAGCATCCTCTCACGAAATTCTACACAAAAAGAATTAAACTGAATTCGCTTGTTACCTCCTTACCTAAATTCCAATTTCGCACCCACTAACCCTGGGTTTTCTCAACTCAGCTTTGAACTCCCAGCCAATCTTGATCGATGGTATTTTTTAACTGCTCCCATTCCAGGTAAGAACAACGGTCTTGTGCCCATTGTTGCTGAGATATATGGACAATATAAACAGAAGTACTACGCAGTTGCTGTTGTGAAAAAGAATAATACAGGCTTCGGACTTGAACAACTTAAGGGGAAAAAGTCCTGTCATACCGGAGCAAGAAAAACAGCGGGATGGAATGTGCCCATTGGGTACATGCTGCGTAAGAACATCATTCTACCAGTGAAATGTGAAACAAAGACCCACGACTTTTATTCAGTTGCTAATTTTTCAGTCAGAGCTGCGTACCAGGTAAGGTTTAATCTGACTTAAAGAGCTTCTTCGATTAATTTGATGATTTATTTTTTTTTGTTTCCTTCCTTGCTTGTTTCCTTCATCTCTTTCTTCCCTATTGCCTTTATCCATTCTTCGCTCCGTCGTTCGTTAGTTCGCTTGTTCCTTCGTTCATTCTTTCATTCGTTCCTTCATTCATTCGTTCGTTCGTTCGTTCGTTCACTTATTCATTCATTCATTCATTCGTTCGTTCGTTCGTTCGTTCACTTATTCATTCATTCATTCATTCATTCATTCATTCATTCATTCATTCATTCATTCATTCATTCATTCATTCATTCATTCGGAAAAAATATTTCGATAAATAAATTGAAAGAGGCTAGGACCTGCCATATATAAAACTTTCATTTAGCAAAGGTCACATCGATATATTTGTTTATTTCTTTATTTATTCCTTTTTTGTTTCTTAGGAGTGAAAGAATACGTTAAAACTGGGGAAGTTCCTGACAAACTTTGCGCACTTTGTGACGGACCCGGGCCTGACAAATGTTCCAAAGACTCGAGCCAAAATAAGTATTATGATTACCATGGGGCATTTATGTGCATGGCAGATGGAAAGGGCGACGTGGCGTTTGTTAAACACGCAACCACCAAGGAAGTGGTCACAAAAGACCCCGGAAAATATGGCGCAGTGTCAGACTACCAATACCTGTGCAAGGATGGGACAAGAAAAGGTAGATAACTTTTTTTTTTTTATGAAACAACAAATATGAGATCTAAGGAAACTTGGAACATGGTAACAGAAAGTTATTATAAAGGATTAGGACTTACAATCAGTTCACCTGTTTGAAGGATATACATGTAATTGTTCTAAAATTTGAGTGAATATTGTCAGGTGAATTGATTAACGTTCTTCCATATTATTAAACTATGCGCTGTCTCTTTAAGGGTGGGGGAGGGGGCTCTTATTCACTCATATGATCAATACCTCAAGAACAGAACAGATAATTGTAGGTAAGGCTGTAGGATAGATAATTACAACGAGTAACGTTTTCGCACTTTACTAGATAGCTCCGGGGCCTAGTGTTGACACAATTTCGGCGCGATTTCCGTAGCGGAGTGAAGTTGGGCCGCACCGATCTCGATAGTAAAGCGTCACATATCGGATAGGTTCACACTTTGGCGCAGTGTGAACAGGCATTCCGGCTATAGTGGGGGTCAATAAGTAGGAGCGAGGACTGGAATCCACTGAGACGGAAGTAAATATTCAGGAGAGAGGACTGGGATTTAGTTGTTTGTTAAGTATGAAAGGCTAGGATTCTTTCAATAATGCCGGCTGTTACTGTTCATACTATACCGAATGTCTTTTCGTAGCGTGTGTCAGCATGAAAAGTTCCGGTATAGTATGAACAGAGATTCATCAGCGCGTTCTAGATCAAATTAGCCGAAAGCTGGATAGAGGAGGACAAGTCGATATAATATATCTGGACATGCCTGGTTTTGGGGGAACCTGCTAACATGGCTGAAATCGTACCTGCACAATCGATCCCACCAACAACAACTACACCAAACCCCTTGCCTGTGACTTCAGGGGTCCCACAGGGATCGATCCTAGGCCCCATGTTGTTCCTTCTGTTTGTGAACTCTTTGCCAGATGCTGTTATATCAGGCCAGATTGCCGCTTTTTCCGATGACACAAAGATTTTCAAAGAAATAACATCAACGCGCGATGCAGAACAATTTCAGGAGGACCTATCTAACCTGGTCACGTAGTCAGATTCTGCTAACAAAACTTTAACTACAGCAAATGCAAAGCGCAGCGCATCACGAGGAAACTTAAACCCGTCATCTTTGTCTATCATATGGTCGGCTCTCAGCTTGAAGTTGTCTGTGCCGAGAAGGATCTCGGTATTTACATCACGGATAACCTCACGTGGAATAAGCAAGTCGATGTGCAATGCGCTAAGGCCAGCGGGCTCCTGGGATATGTACGGAGAAACACTAGACTCGTCAAAAGCATTACGGTTAGACGCTCAGCGTACCTTACCCTAGTAAGATCCCATCTTGACTATGCCACGCAAGTCTGGACTCCGCAGTCAATAGACCTGATTCGAAAGCTCGAGCGTGTGCAGAGGCGCGCTACAAAGCATATCCTGGATCTACCATTCATTTGTGACCAAACATATGGAGACAGGCTAATGATCGGTCTTAACTTATTACCAGTCTCCTATTGGCACGAGTTTTTAGGCATGATTTTCTTTTGCATGCAAAGTTGTAACTGGAACAGTTAAGAGTTAGTCCGTCTGTTCTCCCGCAAGTACTAGTTACTCGCACTACCAGATCTAACAGCAACCGTAATGTCACTCACTTTATTTCAAGGAAATGTAATACTGTCACCTTTCAGAGATCCTTTTTTAATAGAACCACCAGAATCTGGAAAACGCTAGCGAATGATCTTCAACTTTCATGCAACCTTCAGATCAGCCAATTCAAATCCATCATGTACAAGTACTACGTCGATGCCTTAGAATAAATGACTACGACCCAGAGAACCCACGATCCTCGAAAACCATCTGTCCGTCATGTAACGTTTCACGTAACGTGTCTGTCCGTCTCCGTTGTTGTTTTTAATTGTCACATGAAGTTTTACTGTTTCTTACATATCTTTTAAGCTCTGGGACCACTGTAATTGGCTCACCGCTGTTGTGGTAGCCCTACCTATTAAGCATTTATTTGTTACTCATTGTTCAGTAACAGACGAAGCTAATAAAATAAAATAAAATAAAAAATGAGATAAAAAGGACCAACTGCTTTGATGACCATTAAAAAAATACAAATAAAAACATAACATATGTGTATCTTTTTAGCTATAAAATACCGAGATTATAACATCAATGACTTCAGTCACTGAAACGCCAACTATCTATATTTATATCTATCTAACTATATTTTTTTGCGTATTCTTATACATACTTTATTTTTTTTTTACACACATCGTTTTGCCATCTCCGCCCGCAAATAGTAAGAGCTAGACGAGGCGGGCATAGTGGAAAGGTTATAGCAGTTATAAACATTAAATTAAAAGAAACTTTGAAGATTATATTAAAGTAAACTAAATAAACTTACCACTGACCATTTTTTATTCTTAGAATGCGAGCAGTCTCATTTTCCTTTGCAAAGTTACTGCACTAGAAACCCAAGCACGCGAGCCGCGATAAACGAGGATGTAAGCCCGAGAAGAAAAAATAAGTTTTTTCTCGTCTGGTCCTAATCCCTTATTGTAACATAACGTCGTGACCTGCAAACGCTTTGGCTGAGATAAGAACTAGACAGATTTTAAGAGAAAAGGCGGAGTGCAAGCAGTTTGACGTATGCTGGCATTTGCTCTCTTCCATTTTAGTCTGTAAATCTACTCTAGTATCAATCAATCACAAACCCGTTTCATGATACGCTGCAGACAAACGGGCGAGATTGAATAAGATTTAACCAAAAAGAAAAAATTTCATTTGTAATGCACTTGTTGTAGCTTTAAGAAAAAAATCAATACTTTTGACCATTTTTCAAGATTTAATCTCTATTTTCAAGACTTTTTTTAGAATTCAAGACGCTGTACGAACCCTGTATAAAGTAACGATAACTTTTTTTTTATTACTAGACATTGGACAACACGAGCAGTGTTTCCTTGGGTTTAACCCGGCCCATGCCGTCGTCACAAGAAAAGACAACTACCTTGACGACATTGTCACCATTTTAACAGCCATGAGCAGCATGTATGGCTCAACTAGACATTGGACAACACGAGCAGTGTTTCCTTGGGTTTAACCCGGCCCATGCCGTCGTCACAAGAAAAGACAACTACCTTGACGACATTGTCACCATTTTAACAGCCATGAGCAGCATGTATGGCTCCAACCAGACCGACTGGACAAAATTTCAACTATTTAATTCCACAAAGTACGGCGGCGGCAATTTGCTGTTCAAAGATTCCTCCACCGAACTGGTAGGCATCTCAAAAGACAAAGGACCTACAAAGGGTATCTGGGAGACGAACATGTCAGCGACATTAAGGCACTGGAAACGTGTGACACTTCAGACTCCACCAAGACCACGCCCTACGCAGTGATTGTGCTTTTTGTAGCTCTGCTTGTCATGTTGTTACTGTGAACTCAAAACAAACCCTGCTTTAGCTTAAACCATGATCTGATTAAACATTGTGATACCTGAAGACGTTTCAGACTTTAATCGATGGCGTATTTTTCATTTTTGGTTAACGGACAGAAGAAATTACTAGGAACAAGTGGTAGAGCATGTTTTTAACCTTTTGCTTCCCTTCCGTGTAATAGGCCCTTTGCAGCTTGCCATTCCCGTGGAACAAAATCACCATGCTGGGACGCAAAAGTCTCACTAGTACAAGACAAACAAAGGAAATTACCATTTAAAATTATGTATGCTTTTGTTGGTCTTGTCCCAATGCGACTTTTGCGTCCCAGCATGGCGGTTTTGTACCAGGTGAATGGCAAGCTGCAAAGGGCCTATTAGCTGGGCGACGACGTCCTAAGTCACATAAGTGACAAAACGAGAGTTAATCTGAAAGCAATTGAAGGCTGTTCGATTTAAATATAGAGTTTGCTAAACAAACCCCGGACTTCAGTCACTGGGCGTAAATTGATTGAACGGTTATTAAGAAATCTGTCCTTGATAATCATCTAGTTTTCTTTTTATTAATATCTTTTCCTTTATCGAAGCTGAAGATTTAGTCTCGTGTTCGAAGAACACTTATTTAAAATTATAATTTCCTGTGTATTTCCATTATTAATTATCACTGAGTTACTAATTTGAACCTTGTGGTCGACAACAACAGCTAGAGACCCTCATTGCTTAGGATCGTCATTTCCGCCTGACGGCGCACAAGAATAGTGCAGGATAATAGATGCGACTGTATTCGAAGGCTAAAGCTACTCAAGCCCTCTTTTGAGTCTCATCTTGTAAAGTCTTGTTTTTTGTTTGTTTGTTTGTTTGTTTTTTTTGTTCTCTTTTGTTTTGTTGTTTTGTTTTGGTTCCTGGCTTAGAAGACAAACTGCGTAACGTCTGGTATAGCACTGCTGAACCGACCATTAGTGGAGTACGGAGTACTACAGTAGAGTAGCTATATAGAGAAGGAAAATTACCAGCACGGATACAGTCNGAACGGTTATTAAGAAATCTGTCCTTGATAATCATCTAGTTTTCTTTTTATTAATATCTTTTCCTTTATCGAAGCTGAAGATTTAGTCTCGTGTTCGAAGAACACTTATTTAAAATTATAATTTCCTGTGTATTTCCATTATTAATTATCACTGAGTTACTAATTTGAACCTTGTGGTCGACAACAACAGCTAGAGACCCTCATTGCTTAGGATCGTCATTTCCGCCTGACGGCGCACAAGAATAGTGCAGGATAATAGATGCGACTGTATTCGAAGGCTAAAGCTACTCAAGCCCTCTTTTGAGTCTCATCTTGTAAAGTCTTGTTTTTTGTTTGTTTGTTTGTTTGTTTGTTTGTTTTGTTCTCTTTTGTTTTGTTGTTTTGTTTTGGTTCCTGGCTTAGAAGACAAACTGCGTAACGTCTGGTATAGCACTGCTGAACCGACCATTAGTGGAGTACGGAGTACTACAGTAGAGTAGCTATATAGAGAAGGAAAATTACCAGCACGGATACAGTCTAAGTATTATATACTAAAACAGTGATTTAAGCTCCGCATTTTCAAGATTTATTGCAAGGTTTGTCGTTTTCTATTTAAAGTGGGGAAAAAGTGTTTCATTTAATTATTTGCTTAAACAAGTCTTGTGGCAATAATTATCCATTATTATTGAGATTCAATGATTATTTTATGGAGTCACAGTAATCAGGACTAATAGCCAACGTTCGGCATATTAAAATTCTGACATGACTCGGAGGCTTTAGGGTCAAAATTGCAATTTTTTTACGACTCCATTGTCGCGCAATCCCCATAAGAGATTTGAGCACAAAGAACACCAAACCAATGAAAAAAAAAATGACCAGAAAGCCTCGAAGTCATGTTAGAATTTTAATATATCGAAAGTAATCGGGACTTTTAAAATTTTTACGTCATTTGTAGTGAGTTTCAAGAAAGAAAAACGGAGACATCAAATGTCTTCCTCTTGAACATCACCATTTTGACAAGCGTCAAGGTGTTTCAGCTTTATGTAGCATATCATGAGTATAATTAAATCATGATACAAATTTTGTTCTTGTTGTTGTTGTTGTTCCTTTTTTTGCTTTGAGCATTAGCGAGAAGCAATACTATTTGTGATTGTCCGTATGGGGCCTGAGCACTTTAGGGATGCGTTCCTCTGGATCCGTTCACAGTATAATATTCATCCCTGGGTATTGTTATTCATGACATTATAATAAGGTATGGGGAATCAATCTGACCTGGAACAAGCCCAAGACATTGAATAGATAGGTAGTCTGGAAGCCGACTTACTCGCTGGGGAGGGCGGGTGGGTCGCCAATTACCCTTTGTGTCAGACACAATGAAGTGAATAGGACAATGCGTGCCAGTGTTTCTTAATTATTATATATACTCATTCGCATGTCATTAATTAATCCCCAGGGATGATATTTACAATTATTGACCTTTCCAGAAAATACCATAACATACCATAATGCTCTTTGTTTGTCGCCCAAATTTTAATTTAAACAAAGGACTATTAATCCAGCAGCCATTTCTGCAACCATGTAGATGTAATGGGCCAACCCAGGAGCCCATAACCGGAGAAAGCAATTAACTCCCTTTTGCCAATGCACCTTTGGCCTTTTTACAGACCAATTTATATTGAGATGGATTGTTCCCGCGAATTTTGAATATCAAATAAGTCTTACAATTAGTCATCAAAAACCCGGAGACTGGAAAAAAAGTATCTCTTATGTTTTGATAGCATTTACTTCTTTTTGTCATATATTGTCGTGCTGTTCATGCGCACCTATACAGAGCGGTATATCCATTTCAGAAGGAAAAATTCAGCTCAAAATGATACTAAAAATAACTTGATCTGTAAAACCCGGAGCGATGCAACTCCCATACTTAAGCCCTGTCCGACCACACGTACCCGGACATTTTTAAATCCGCAATTTCTCTCTTTGCGGATTCAAAAATTCCCCCGTTCATCCACACGTAGCCTATTCAAATAGAATTTGCCCGTCCACACTTTTCCGGATTCACTCTAAGTTCATCAGCTTATACTACCACATGAGAAATTTCTGCAATTTGATTGGCTGAGAGTAGAGGTATTTCTGCTTAATTTGAAATACCTACATGTGAAAATTAACATATAGATTTAGCCAGGGCTAAAAGCAAAGCTCTCGATAATATTTATAGTTCGTTCAAACAAAATATAAAATCGTGTAATGCTAGGCGGAGGAAAACGGTGAAAAGCAACAATAGGTCTAATTAGCAAAAAAGCAACTTTTGCACTTGCAGCACTCTTTTTTTGTACATTTCTTTGCCGATGTTTTGTACGACTACAACGTGAAACTTCCAGCGACTTCTTAGTTACACGTTTTATGGAGGAAATGTCGTACGTGTTCAGGTTCACTTTTTTTCATTGCCACTCATTTTCACCTTGCATTGGTGGCCGCTAGCATTTCTCATCAAGTTGCCACCGCCGCTACAAAATTTCCATGTTGTTCTTCCAACAAAAAATGTCTCCTTTGTTTTTTATCTCTCTGCTCTGAATCTCTGTCGCCCTTTTTCTCTTTGAGCTTTGCTGGCCTGCCGCCCAGTTTCTCTTTTTCTCTGTCTTTCTCGTGCTCTATATTCCAAATTTGTGGACATGACAATGTATCTAAGCTTAATACTTTAGACAACATGGATACAGAAACAATTTCCCCTTTCCGTTTTCGTCTTTATTGACTCTTTTGTTGTCTCTGCTTTACAAGACGCCGGTGGCTATCCGAATTCCCGCCAAAATAACCTCGAGTTGCATTTGCATGGGTTGCCATACCTGTTGATTGAGTTATTTTATATTGGTATGCCTGTAGTGCGGACGAACCGTCTCTATAGGGCGGTCGGTCGGTGTATGGTCACGTGATTACCAACTTTTCTCGGATGGGTAGATTACTTCATTTTCCTACCCATGGTGCTTGGCTGGCACGCGCGAGAACTCCGCTACAAGCCTTTTACGGGAAGTAGTATAAACAAATGATAGCATAATTTGTACATGATATTTGGCATAAATACCACTCGCGATATTTCAAAATTGTCTCAAATTTCACTGGCCAAATGGCTCGTGAAATTACGCATATAACAACTTTGAATATCACTCGTGGTATTTATGCCAAATATCACTACAAATTGCTCTAATACTAATTTCTTCGGCTAAGGAACCGTTCATTTTTAATTGTGGGAGGGGGGGTGGTGGGATTTGACGTAGTATACGGTGACCCCCCCCCCTTCATAAGAAATTTTTTTGGGACGGTCCCCCCTTTTATCCCAAATTAATTGAGATGAT